ACACTGAGAAACAAACTAATGTTCAGCATTACTTTAAATTTAAATCAACATTGGGAGCAAGGGTGGTCTGAGTAATGAGCCTGACAATCTGTTTACCGATGTAGGATGACAAAATAGGTCAGTCCTTATCTGGCAAAGGAACTTTATTCAGTGTGCTGGATCTATGAACAGTGGAGGCTTTTCTGTTAAAACAAAAGGGCAAGATTATCACAGACGTGTTCCTATCTCAGCACTTAGGGACCTTTACATGAGTTCTTGTCAGTGCACGACAGCGAATGATTTGTATTTTTCTTCTCTTTGGAGGAGGGAGAATTTATTCAATCTTCATTTTGTTCCTAATTAGTTTTAATGTGGCTATTTTTAAACCCCAAGGTAAAACATCTGGTGTTCACACACAGCTGGAGACCGGCAGGACCAGCGGTCAAATGTGCTGCCAAAGGTACAGCTTTCACATTATCTTTACATTCTTTACAAACAATACTTCTATACTACTTTCATAAGAATTGCTGAACAATCCACCAGTCCATTCACATATCCATCCATCGTCTGCCACTTGAAGATAACAAGGTTACCAAGGCAACAACTTAACTACAGATACTCAGACCTCCCCCTCGCCAGCTACCTCCTCCACCTCATGCAAAAAGGCTCCAAAGCCTCATTTCCACCGACCTTTATGGCACTGAACAGGGAGGGTTGGTAATTTTTTTCTCCCTATTGTAAAACTGGTCCAGACAACTGACCTGGACGCACCAGTCATGGGACATTTTTGGCCCCCTTCTGTTGTAGGTCCAGAAATTCGTGGAGCGGTATGGTTAGGACGGAGCAACAACACAGTCCACTGATTGGGGGATAGAAATACATCACTACTTGCAACAAGTGAAACAAACTTTGGAGTTCCGTTGTTAGTATTTTCATTAGTTATACACAAATGTGAAAAAATGCCAGCAAGCAGCAGCAAGTTTTGGTCAACTTCAGAGTTCCATACATTTTTCATCATCATCGTGAGAGTCCACACTCAGGAGGAGCTAGGTGGATTGGTAAGAAATGTACAAAAAATAATTTCTCTGTGGATGACAGTAGGATTCAAGTGGACGTCGGAACGGTGTCAAGTCAAGCTGAAGAAATCAAAGCTTAATATAGAAACGTTAAGGACGGAAACAACCAAAGTGGAAATGTTTTTGGGTTTTTTTAAGTGAAAATGGAAGAAGTACATGGACGTGCTACGACATGTTGGATGGTATTTATAGCCACAGACCGGCAAACCGAGGCAACAAGGCAGGTCTGGACTCAGCGACCACATTCTGGAGTCACTTGTGGAGCCCGTAGTAAGCATTTAGTTTTTGTCTTTAGTTCTGTAGACCATTTATTGCAGCACAAACACACTGAATAGTTGCACAGCTTATTTATAAAATTGTGCATGGTGGTTCGTTTAACTCCACTTGCTGACATGAGAGCCCAAACTTTGATAGAAACATTCTCCTGAAATTGCAGGAGACCAACTTATGTATAAAACATCTGATTTGTCAAAAAAAAAATTGTGATAAAATCATGATCGAGATTTTGCAAAAACAAAATTGTGATATTATTTTTTTTTCCATATCGCCCACCCCTACATCAATGCACTTACATACACTACCATAGACTGATTGTTGCTATAACCCTCTAAACCGGGGGTCGGCAATCCGCGGCTCTGGAGCTGCATGCGGCTCTTCCATCCATCTGATGCGGCTCTCTGTGCTTGTAAAATAATGAATGGATATTTAAATAAAAAGCTTTATATTTTACTGCATTAATTTTACATCTGTATGCCAATTCTAAATCTAAAGATTGTCTGCGTAAACCTGAACAGTTCCAACCCGGTCTTACTGTGGGACCGGGTTGACGGGTCACGCTTGTGCGTAATCAAATCGGCTCTTTCTGAGTTGAAGAGGATGTGAGATTCTGGGATTCTCCTCAGACGGCTCCTGGATGTGTCGCCACAATGGAGACAGGAACAAGCACTATTCAGCCAAAGTTTCATAATCAGGGAACATTTTCTAAGTGACAAGTCACGCTTCAGTGGGAGGAATCTTCCTGCATGCGCTCTGGTTCTGCGACGCGCTCCAAGCCCCTCTCCACATCTTCAGCTCGCTGTGCACCGTACGTACGCGCTGACAGTGAGCTGCGCTGAGCAGTGTCCAGCTCAGATTTACATCTGCGATGTGCGTAACGAATAAAATGTCAGTTCGTCTGCATGCGTCGGGGTAATTCTTTCTATTCTTTCTCCGTCAAAATAAACGGTCAAATACGGGAACTGTCCGGTCAACACAAGCCCAGCTTTTAAAAGTTCTGTTTTCTTGTGAAAATTGTTGCAAAGAGATATAATTTAACTTGATTAACACCAGAGCCAGGCGCACTGCGCCGTTATCTCCGTCACTGTAAATGAGGGAAAAACAAATTGATCGGATCCTTTTCTGATCTTCCCCACCTACAAAGTTTAATTACAACAATCAAACGTGACAGAGCCTGGATTTGTATTCTGAACAGTCTAAACATGTTTTAAAAAGAAACGTATGACAAAAGTGGCACCTGCTCAGTAAAACCACCAACAGGGTGAAAAATAACTAAATATTGTAGGCAAAGACGGACTACAACTTCTGGATCCATTTTATATAAATCGTTTTATTGATTATCGTCTTATGGAAGATAACTTTGACGTACACGAGCGACCGGTACTGGCTGCTGTCACCTGTTGTGATTGGTTAAAGCAGCTCTCTGCTGTCTGAGGGTAGGCCCCGCCCACAGCGCCGCAGCTACTGTGGCTCCCAGTGTTTTCTTTACTGTGGGAAACGGGTAATAATGGCTCTTTGATGGGAACAGGTTGCCGACCCCTGCTCTAAACATTATAACTCCAGGTTTGGGGACTCCGAAATTGAAGCAAGCCTGGCAGTACTTTCTCAGTAGCCATTTGTGCTACAAAGCAGTAAAGGGTTTCAACATAAGTGTTAAATAGGTCACAACACAAGCAAGTCCAGTTTCCCCAGTTGGACCAGCCAGCTGTTGCCCATGCTATCTGACAACTGTACCAAACTCTGAGATCCAAGAAGCTGTGGGAGGAAATGGTTGAAGTAGTGTGTGTGTGTGTGTGTGTGTGTGTGTGTGTGTGTGTGTGTGTGTGTGTGTGTGTGTGTGTGTGTGTGTGTGTGTGTGTGTGTGTGCGTGCGTGTGCGCGTCTGGGGTGGGTGGGTGGGATTGTGTGTATCAAGTCAAAAAGTATGGCTTTGTATCCCTTATGGCCTCCAGCCCCAAATCTTGGAAAGCTTTATATCAGCAGAGTTGGCCAAGCTGCCCAGGCTTTATTCATGTAGAGCCAGTGGCGTACCGAGCCAAGTACTCCAAGTAGAATAAAACCTCAAGCATGCATTCACACACACACACACACACACACACACACACACACACACACACACACACACACACACACACACACACACACACACACACACACACACACACACACATACACACACACAAAGATCATCACCCCCTGCTTTATAAGACTTTAAACACCCAGAGTTTGTTTGAGTCTCAGCACCCAGGGATGCTAAACTGAGCCTGATGGTGCTTCTGCCAGGATCGCTGTTTTTGAATATAGGAAAAGGGAAAAGAGACAGTGAGGGCTCTCTTTCACATTGCATGAACAGTTTTCTTGACTTTGACTAACCATGAACACACGTGAGATCCCAGCAACCCCCCCCCCCCCCCCCCCCCCCAAAAAAACTGATTTCTACTTCAAATAGCTAAAAACATACAAAATTATAGATTTGTATCATGTTTGGTTTACAGTGATGTGAATAAATCACGTCCATAGGAACTTTTCAAGTAGCAAACCTCTGCTCACATTTGCCCAAAGACATCTGAGTGATCTCCAAGTTTTGGGGATATATTTTGTAGACAGAGAAAACAAGTGTGGATTTATTTTTTTTATTGTGTATTCAAATACATTTGCAGAAAAATTAACTCGAAATTTTGGCTTAAAAACACCAGTACTAATACATGGTGGCAGCAGTGTGATGGTGTGGGGCTGCTTCATACCCAGATGATTGCTATGATGGAGTCAAGAATACTGCTCTGTACCTGAAATGTGAGACAAAGTTCCTCCACAGCAATGCAAGAAACCAGATAAAAAAACTTCACTGCAGTTGTTGCCCACAAGGATTGTTGCATTTAATAGGTTTAGTGGTCAGTTTTTTCACATAAAATCAAGTTGATTTGAATAGCTTATTTTCCCTTAATAAATGACGTTGAATTTTCATTGCAATCGGAAGTGTCAGGTAGGATTAAGAAGAAACAACAGGACAAACCTGTAACATGGGAAATACCGTTTTTGCAGCACTGTAAACATCTGAGCCAGACACAACAAGAACCAACTATCGCCAAAACCAAGTTCTTAACACATCTGGATCCCTTCAAACTGTATTTTCATTTTCAAGCCAAAGGAGGAAAAAAAGTTACTGTATTTTTAATTAAAAAAAAAGAAAAGAAATGAATAGCAGCAAAGCCAAACAAACTTCTGAGACATTTCAAGAATATGAGAAGACAACAAAAATGTTGTCATTTGAACCTTTTTGTTTTGTGCGTCAACAGCGTTTGCTTTTATTTCCAGGCTTTGAACAGTCCTGCCACATGCTGTGCGCCTTCAAAGTCTTCACAATGAAGCGCAGCTGATAGCTGCTCACCAGCATTGTTGGGATTACACAGACTTTAACATTAGAAACAATCACAGCGTCGTAAACATATACCAATGCAGACAAAGCACTCGAGCGTGTCCAGTAAGACTTGGAGCATCTGCTGCCTCAGACAAATTAAATTTGGAGTAATTATGAGGGGGGCTGTCTGTGTCAGCATCCCTGGTATTACTCTGACACCCCAAGGTGTGGTGCAGGCAGCGTGGCTCGTTAAATTAATGAAACAATGACTGTGCACGTGTGCACCAAATTACTATATATATATAGTCTTACCTCGGAATAGGAATGCTTTGCTGCCGTTGTGAAGACCTGCCACTTGGGTAATTCCGTAGGTGGCATTTGCCAGGTCAAGTTCACTGATGATATCGATCTGGTAATCCTGATCTAATCCTAAACCAAAACCTGGACAAGAAAGGTGAGGGTTAGCGGATGGAAAGCGGGACTGGTTTTACTAATAAGGCAGAACTTGCACAGGTTTTCCCATAATTAGGACTATCATTCATTTAAGACACACATGGTGGTTTCGTGAGCCTCTGGTGGATGAAACTGCGCAGTTGTGTCGCAGTCATCACCGGAGCTCCACACGGGCACTCTAAAGGTGCAGGTAGAAGGTGTCATGTCTTTGGTCATATCAGCCCCGTGGCAGTTTGAAAGTACAAACCAAAAACAGGATGGTCACCAAATTCTGCTGTAGCGCATCAAATTCTAACTTGCTTTGCGCGCGAACAGAGGAGCGTCCAAATATGTAAAAACAAACAAAAAAAGCTCAAGTTTTCAACGTAAATTAATCTTTGCAGACACGTATTTCCTACGGTTTGCGCTCACCTGGTTTGGTGAAAAAGAAAAACGACAACAGGAGCACGTAAATATCCATTGGTGTTGAGAGTTGCGCTGTGGATGGGTGCGTGAGTCGTGCGCTTCGGTGCCTATCCTCAGCAACCAACTCTGGTCCGTCTGGCTGCAAGCGCTGCTCACACCTTGTCTGAATGTGGAGGAACGGAGGAATGGTCCACGAAGCGAGCTTAAGGGGTTCCCTGCCTACAGAGCAGGATCCGCTCACAGCGTCTGAGCGCCTCCAGCCTGCCTCTGCTGGCATCAGAACTCACATTTCCCGGTGAATTGTCAGAATACAGAAAGTCTGAACTTCAAACGTGAATGCTGACATAATTTATAACCATCAACCTGTAAAAACCCCCCTCTGAACAGAAACGTCCACTTTTGGAGGTGAGAAAAGGCTTTTTGAAGAAAGCTCAGAGGAAGTGGGATTCATCAGTGAGATGCCCTAACTTATCAAAATAAAACATAATTTTTCTTTTTATGTTTTATACTACTTGCTGTTCAGGATGCTGAATGTGAGCCAGCCCTGGTGAAGATTTTCTATAATGGCACATTCCTGCTCTCTGCTCTTAAATTGGCCATTTTCCCTTTCACCTCATCCTCGTCTGGGAAAAGCTGTGGGATTTTTAAGCACACTCCGGTCCTCTTTGCCCCCAGTGTCCTGTCTTTATTGAGAACCATTAATCATACCTTCTTCCCTCTGCCTCTAATTTGTGTGTATTGTCAGGTTGTCTGGGTTACCAGCATCCACACACATGGGTGGAATAAAATGATGCCGCCTGCTTAGTTATCATGGCAGTTACACAGTGTGTATCATATGCTCCACCTGCAAACGTGTGTTTTACAACTGGGATGGTATAATGTCTGCTTTGGGATACAGGTCACTGCACTACGCTCTCAGATTTGACAGTAAACAACAGCAGCATTCACTTAAAAGGGTCACACATTGATACAGAACCAAAACATCTTAAAAAAATATTTTTTTGATGAATTAGAGGTTTCCAAAAAGCTTCAAAGGAAAAAAAAGTGGAAGTTTGGATGTTTAATTATCTTAAAGTTTTATGACATTTAGCAGTGAACAATAGAAAATGTAAAAACAAATATAAATACTATTTCTTTAGGAGTAATGTGCAAGGCTCTTCAATCTCTGGGGCTGAGGTCACCGTGGTGGTCAAAAAACTCCTCTGTGGCAAGGTCCCATGGATGGATGAGATCCGCCTGAAGATCCTCAAGGCTCTGGGTGTTGTAGGGCTGTGTTGGTTGATGCGGCTCTCCAGTATCACGTGGACATCAGGGGCAGTTCCACTGAATTGGCAGACCAGGGTGGTGGTCCCTCTATGTAAAAAGGAGGACCGCAGGGTGTGTTCCAACTAGAGGGGGATCACACTCCTGAGCCTCCCTAGTAAGGTCTATTCAGGTGCTCTGGAGATGGGGGTCCATCAGATTGTGGAAAGCCGGATTCAAGAGGAGCAATGTGGTTTTTGTCCAGGCCGTGGAACACTGGACCAGCTCTACACCCTTAGGGAGCTCCTGGAGGATGCGTGGGAGTTCACCCGACCAATCTACATGTGTTTTGTGGATTTGGAGAAGGCGTTCCACTGCGTTCCTCGGGGGGAGGGGGCCCCTTGATACGGCCATTAGGTCCCTGGATGTCCAGTGACAGAGCTTGGTCCACATTTCCAGCAGTAAGTCGGGCTCTTATCCAGTTAATTAGACTCCGCAAAGGCTGCCTTTTGTCACTGACTCTGTTCATAACTAATATGGACAGGAGCTCTAGACACAGCAAAGGTTTTGAGGGGATCCGTTTTGGTGGCTTAAAGAATGGATTTTTGCTTTTTGAAGATGATGTACTCCTGTTGGCTTTATCAGAACGTGATCTTCGGCTTTCACTGGAGTGGTTTGCAGCCCAGTGTGAAGCAGATGGGATGAGAATTTCAAGACCATGGTCTTGAATCAGAAAAGGGTGGAATGTCTTCTCCAGGTCAGGGATGAGGTCCTGTCTGAAGTGGAGGAGTTTGATTATCTCAGGGTCTTGTTCACGAGTGAGGGAAAGATGGAGATCGATAGACGGATTGGAGCTGCATCTGCAGTGATGTGGGCGTTGTAACGATCTGTTATGGTGAAGAGAGAGCTGTGTCAGCTGATCTATGTTCCAGCCCCCATCTACGGTCACAAGCTTTGGGTAGTGACCGAAAGGAGATCACAGATACAAGCAGCCAAAATGAGCTTTCCTAGCAGCAGGTGCTGCTGCTGATAGAACCATCAGCTCTCTTTGGGCTGAAGCCATGGCATTTCACTGCAGAACAGGCCTCAGGGCTGTTTTTGAGATTTATACCAAGGTACAATTGACGTGGAAGATGAGGGCATTTTTAAGAATATGCACCACCTTCAGATGAAAAAACTTTCAAGTTATGAAGTTTCTTTTTCAAAAGTGTAAAAACATTGATATCCTTATGAAAGGAACATGTTTATTTGTTCTACAGTGGTTGTAGTTGCCTTCTCACATGTTCAATTTGAAATGTTTTTGGAGGCCTTCAATAAATTGTGTCAAAACTTCAGAAACTACATTCTTATGGTACAGACCTAGTATAGCTTCTGAAAAGCACATTGATCAGAACCTTTGGAGTACTTTAGAAAATCAAAATAATTACAGTAATGTACTTAATGAAGAAAAATCAAGACAACTGGGCTCAAATGAAAATAGAAACTCATGCTCACTGAATTTATTTCCATATTTTTAACTGTAAAAAAGGGAAATCTGTGGTGAATAATAATAATAATAATAATAATAATAATAACAATAATAATAATAATAATAATAATGGAAAAAAATTTCATCACGAAAATAGATTTGACATTTGAAATGAAATGGCTTCATTTTAGATATTTGGTATGGTTAGGTTACTTTTTGATCTTAATGACAAGCAAACAGAATGTAGACAACGAAGCGTGTGTGTGGGGTGTGTGTGTGTGTGTGGGGGGGGGGGGGGGGGGGGGGGGGGCTTAATTAGTTCCAAGAGAGGCTGTGAGATTAAGGGACAGCAAACTCATAATTAACAATTCACTCTCAGCCTTTTCAGATTTTTATAAGTAAAAAAATAAACAGCAGGAAACAATTAAACAGCTTGAGGCTGTCAGGTTGGTTTATTCTTTGGTTTTCTCTTTATTAGGCTCATGGGTACTTTAAATCAAAGCAGAAACCAGTTCGATGCCAGGTATTTCTGATGTTTTCCTAACAATAGGTGGTAGGGATGTACACAATTAACCAGTTAATTTCTGTTAATATTGTAACCGGGTAAAATAGTTTTGACCGGTTAACGTGTGGGTGTTGAACGTGCATGGGTGTAATATATTTTGTGACACTCAAAACCAAAGAACAAGAAGAGCTTGTCACGTGATCAAATAAATTTACTCAAAAATGAAGCAGTTGTAGGAAAATGCACAGCATGGGGCATCTTAGACTTGGTAGATAACAAAATGTGCTGAGCCTGGAAAAACAAGGAAATAAAGCCGAGCAGCAAAATGAAACAAGATCAGCAGCAGGTCAGTCTGCCATAACTCCTGCTTTGTGACAGTGTGGTGTCTGCCTTCTTTAGTTTGCTGGAGGGGGAGTTTACGGTTAATCCAGTAATTTAATGGCTTCAATAACCGGTTAAACAAATTTTGGAAAATGTGCATCCCTAATAGGTGGGATTTCCCTCAACAGGTCACCTGACAAAACCAACACCTTCACATGCGTAGTGCTGAATCTACAACTGTCTGGTCACTGATGTACAGAACCACAGCAAAAGTAACCTTTGGGGCATTTTTTTGTGTTGTTTAAGCCAATTGTCTTATGATTCAGGCATTTTTAAAGTAGTGTATTTTAACCATAACAAATTCTGATAAGGTTTTGAGGACTAAGGACATGCTTAATCCCACTTCTTGTTAACTTTTGACTTTGAGTAAATGAGATTTCCAACACAACATCTACAGTTGCTTCCTTCAGGGATTTTATTATGATCCCATTGTTGTGAGTAGGAATAAGGAGATATTTCTTATATTTGCAGCAAGTACCGCAGCAGTTTCCTAATGTTAAGAACCTGCTAACACACTGGGCAATAAAACCCTTCTTTGTTGGCTGATTCAACCACATCTGCAGACAACACCTAAATGGTAAATGGCCTGCAGTATAGCACTTTCTTAGGGTTCTACAACCCCCCAAGGCACTTTGCAACACAATCAGTCATCCACACACACGTTCACACGCTGATGGTGATAAGCTACAATGTGACCACAGCTGCCCTGGGGTACACTGACAGGGGTACACTGCCGTACACTGGCACCACCAGTCCCTCCGACAACCTCCAGCAGCCAAGGCGGGTTAAGTGTCTTGCCCAAGGACACAACAGCAGAATTCTCTGGCAGGAGCCAAGAACAAATCTACAATCTTCTGATTACTGGACAACCCACTCTAGCTCCTGAGCTAATGTAGCCCTAAAAACCAACGAGATATTTCTTAGGGTACTGCTGGACAGCTAGCTCTGTTTCAGGGTATACTCTTTACATTCTGATGTCTGTACTTATTCAGGTTTGTATTTTATAACTATTTCAATATATTTAACTAATGAAGAACAATCATCAGGCATTACAGGGAGAAACTCTTGCAAAATGGACTTATTCTATTAAAAGGACTAAATAATAATGAAATAAAGTAAGTGTGAAATGTATTTAGGCTCCAGGTGGTGTTTAGAGAGGAGGTGCTCTTGGAAGCCAGAGAACCTTCAAGAGATTTTTGGAAATGGAGAGGGTTCTTGTCAAAAAACATTTTGCGCCATACATCCATTCTCTTCTGCTTATCTGAGGTTGAGTCACGGGAGCAGAAGCTTAAGCAGAGAGGCTCAGACTTCCCTCGCCCCAGCCACTTGAGCCCGCTCCTCCGGAGGAATCCCAAGGCATTCCCTGGCCAGCTGAGAAACATAGTCTTGTGTGTCCTGGGTCTTCCCTGGGTTCTCCTCCCGGTTGGACGTGCACGGGTAACCTCAGAGGCATCCAGGAGGCATCATAGCCAGATGTCCGAGCCAACTCAACTGACTCCTCTCTATGTGGAGGAGCAGCAGGTCTACTCTGAGCCCCTCCTGGTTGACCGAGTTTCTCAACCTATGTCTAAGGGAGGAACTCATTTCAGCCGCTTGTGTCCACAATCTCATTCTTTCAGTCATTACCCAAAGCTCGTCACAA